TTTATGTTTTCCTCACCGTGGCTTCAAACCCCCCCTTACCGTGGTTTGTCTATAACAATATTAAAATTTTTCCCAAAAGTCAAATCAAATTAAAATTCTGAGACAACAGTCCCCCTCGTTAGAATATCGGGGAACCTCAAGTTTCGAACTGCTCCCAACTCGCCAATTATGTAAGTGAATTATTGTAAGTGCTTTTGAAATGTTTATTTGGGGGTCTGAAATGGACTGATCAAATTTACATTTTTCCCTTTTTGAAAAAAATTTGTTGGGGAAAGGGCACTAACAGCCTTCGGAAAAAAAAGTTCGAGAAAGTTCGAAACCGGGGTTCCCATGACCGGATCATTAAATGCTCCTCAATTGAAAGTGCATACTCCCAGCCTTTCTAATCACAGTTGTTAAAAAACCCCATTAGAAAAAATTTAAAAACACCTCGGCTTTAATAATAAAGCGTCAAAAAATTTTTAAAACATTTAGAAATATTGATGGCAAACAAATTTAAAATTTAGTCCTGGGCCCTTAAAATGTTTTTTTTTTTTTTATTTAAAATTCAAACTCATAATAACACCCCATCTAAAAACTAAAAAAAATCACAAAGAAGAACAAAATAACCCAGGTAAAAAAAGGAAATTTTAAGTTCCATTGCCATAATCATGGTTTTAAAAAAAAAGCTAGACTTGGCCTAATCCCCAAAATTTAAATATAAAAAGATACCCAGTACATACCATTCAAATGGCCATGAATCAAAGAGGTATTAAAAAACCCTTAAAAATATTTGAACCTGGATCAAGAAAAATCTTTTTAAATTATTACTTTTTGTAACCCCCTCATGGGAGGTTCCTTGTATTGGTGAGAATTTTTTTTAAGGAATTCCTTGATAAACCTGATAACCCTTCATTTTTCCCCGGGCTGTATGCCCTGGGGTGTAGTTCTTCCCCATGACTTTTAATAATATTCTTGCTGATTGAAAACCCTATCTTTACATTGATACTATTATTACCCGTCAAGGAAGATTTATTGAGCCATTGAATTGGATGAAATTGAAATAAAAAGGGACTTTTTAAATAGCAGATTTCATAGAGCAAACTTCCAAGTGAACTTTCATTCAGGAATGCTCGTAAACCAAACCGCAGAAACAAGGGAAACTTGTACTAGATATCTTTCCCAGAATTTTGTGGGAAATAAATGTTTTTCCGTATTTAGAAAAACTGGGGATCTTTGTACTGTTATTACATTTTGTATGGTTGGTGCTCAATGGTAAAAAGAGTTTGTAATTTAGAAGAAGCCCCTATCACTTAACTTCCTTTTGGAGAGGGAGCATGGACACTGGTTTCTTTCCACAGTTACTAAAAACAACAGACATAGCCCCACTCCACAAAGGGGCAGTAAAGCAATAGCAAAGAACTACAGACTGATAGTGCTAACGTCCCATATAAAAATCTTTGAAAGGGTTCTAAGAAGCAAGATCACCGCCCATCGAGATACCCATCAGTTACACAACCCAGGGCAGCATGGGTTTAGAGCAGGTCGCTCCTGTCCTGTTCCAACTGAACAAGAAACTTCTTCATAGCTATCCAGTAAGAACATAAGAATGGAGAAACACTGCAGAAGGTTATGCATATGCTTTTATCCAATCTCTCTTTCAAGCTACCCAAGATATTAGACTATAACCCTACTCGGTAGATTGTCACATGCAGCATTCTCCCCCTGACCCAGCATTTTAAACCTG